CTGATTAACCATCCTCACTGTCAGAAAATTCCTCTTTATTTCCAGGTTGAATCTCCCTCTGAGGACAAACACTGCTAGACAATGAAGGCGGGTAAATACGAGGCTGCATGAGCCTTGAAGTGTTGGGGTGGCAAGGGAGCTGTGACTGGAGCATCACCCTATGTTGTTGGACTGAGCAAGACTCGGAGAGACTGGGGCTTTGTGCTTAGCGCTGATGGGCTGGGGCAGCTGCCATTTTTTTATACAACCCCAGAAACTCCCAGAGTCAACTTTCAAGGGAGATGGGTGACATAAAAATTTAATTAATGAATAATAGTATTGCAAGCAGACCCAAAACCACACATTGTGGTGCTGCTTGCTGCCTCACAAGGCAGAGTGCAGGACAGAGTTGCAGTAGGGTAGCAGGGTTGCCATCGTTAACCGATGCAGCTGCAGGACTTCAAGCTTTACGACCGCAACATTTAACAATGGAAATTCCAGTCCCAATTGCCATCTACAGGACTACCTGTAATTTATTCTGTTAGCTAGCCTCTGTCACTTTTTAACAACTGAAACCTGGCCCAACCATTATATATGCTCTGTATTCATGATAAAATATTCGCTCTCAATTTATTGCTCTATAGCTGTATTTCTCAACCTTGAGAACTTTAAGATGGGTGGACTTCAACTCTTAAAATTCCCAAGGTTGAAAAATACTGCTATAGAGTATACAGCAGATTTACTTATCATTGGGATTCTATGTAAGAGTTTTAACTAGGAGCAAAAATCTGCCAAATCTATTCCAAAGTCATGACCCAATATATTTGAGCAAGTTATATTGATCTAACAGGTTTTAGTACCATTTGCTTGTGGAACAAGGTAGAATGTATTCTGGAAATGAGCATTTCACACCCATTCACCAACATAAATAATGAAAGCAAATATTCTATCAGTGGTTAGAAGTTGTATGTTTACACCCACAGTAATATTTTCTGTCTTCTCCTACAGCAAAGCAACACTTCCTAGCAGTTGCTGATGATTTTGGCACCTTGCATATTTTAGAAATCTCATGGTCATTAATTCACCCTTCCAGCAATGAGGTTTGTAACCCATTTCATAATTTTTTGTGGGTGGGTATTAAAAATTGCCGAATGGAGTTGGCCAAGTTGTGGCATGTTAGGCAAGAGACATCCGATTCAAGGAAGGCAATAGGATGGCGCAAATGAAGCTTTGCATCCCCCATCAGCAAATCTGCTATCCCACAGAACAATTGCTAAGGTCAGAAAAGATGAAGAATTTAATTACATATAAATCATAGTATCAGTCAGCTATACAGTAAGAAAGTGCCTGAATAGCATCTGAAGAGCTCCAAATGATCAGTAAAATTATCACATTTGCAGCAACTGAATTTTAATTTTTTATTTATACCCCACCTTTATTCTTTTTATAAATCACTCAAGGCAGAAAATATACCTAATAATTTTTCCTCCTTCCATTTTCTCCAAAACAACAACTCTGTGAGATGGGCTGGGCTGAGAGAGAGTGATTGGCCCAAAGTCACCCAATCACCTTCCGTGCCTAAGGCAGGATTAGAATTCACCATCTCCTGGTTTCTGTCCTGGTGAACATTTACACTTGGGTTTGGCAAATGGTATTCTCCAGATATTCTGGATTTCAGCATCCATTAACAAGTTTACTAGCAAGATTTTTGTTGAAAACATCTGGATGGCACTGGTTTGCCTATTCTCCAAGCCTAACAAAAACATTCATTCATTTTTATTTCTTACATTTATATCCTACTCTTCCACTGTGAAATGCAGGCTAGATAGTATTCAGGTTTCTTCAGTTCTTGTAGTTGTATAAAGATATCCATGTTTTATGAATGGACAACCCATGCTCATCATAATTAAACATACATTGGAAATGTCAGCATTCTAGTGTTCTTCATTACTTTGAGCGAGAAGTCAAACATCTGGAGTATTTTGAGCAGCGGCAGGAATTCAGAGAACAAGAAAGGGTGGCACTTGAGTATGAAAAGCTGATGAAGAGAACGGTAAGATCTTTAGAGGCTCAAAAGTTAAGATGTGGCTGTTATGAATGTTAATCTAATTTACAAAGTTCTTGGGCAAATGAACTATGAAAAAGTACAGTTAAAATAATTGGGTTTATGGTATAGAGGATTATGTCCAATTGAATATCCTCAGGACCCACGTTTTCTGTAACAAAGAATATTTTCATTGGCCTACTCCTTAATTACTATTTTTACAGTATTATTATTATTATTTTCTATTCTTCTCTTCAGCCAAAAACTTTCTCAAAAGTAACTAACAAACCAATACAAACTTAAACATTCCTTACTCTTAGACTTACAATCTGTAGAAAGCAATTATTAGGAAATGGGGGGGGGAATATAAAATGCAAGTTTTTACTTTATTTTAACTTCCCTTCAGCAACAAGAATTTTTTTGTAAAAAAAATTTAAATAGCCACAATACTATATCTTAGTTAGTAGATCCAAAATCAAATGATGGTTTGGGCTCATTGCAGTTAATCCATACTTTGCTTTGCATTTCTGGAAGCAGAAAACCCCAAAATGGGGCTGAGTCTCTAGTCTGCTTTCTTTTCTTATTTTGCCCCTATAATTGTCTCTATCACATTGTACTCCTGGCTGGTAGAACTATAGTTGTAGTACACAAATTAAATCCTATTACAGTTAGTGCAGATGTTTGCAAATATTTTGGAAACCTATAAAAAGTGGCTTGCATTCATACATTAAAATAAAACATTGCCAACTTTTCCTACCTGGATTGGCGTGAGGAACAAGGGACATCAGTTGGTTTTTGTTTGCCACATATGCTTTTTACCTTTATATTATATCTGAGTCTATGATATATAGATTCAGACATAATATATGGGATATGCTTTTGAAAAGCTGACTGTCGTCCCTGTGGTTTGGAGTTTTGCCGCGTTGTTATATCAGCATGTGACTGCTGGTATATTAAATATAATAGACATGAAATGGTTATGAGGTTCTGTTGCCTGCCTGAGTTAGCAACTGATTTTCCATTTCCGTAGTCTCAACCTTAATATCCTTTCAGACAATTGTGCAGCTTTTGAAGAGAGGAAATTCAGTGGAGTGATCTTCCCCAGTGCAAGGAGTCCTTGACTTACAACCACAATTGGGATCAGAATTTTCATTGCTTAGCAAGGTGATCGTTAAGTGAATTGTGCCGGATTTGACATCCTTTTTTTGCCGGCTGTTAAGAGAATCACTGCGGTTGTTAAGTGAAATAACACAGTCGTTAAATAAATCCAGTTTCCCCCATTGGCTTTGCTCGTCAGAAGTCAGCTGGGAAGATCGCAAATGGCAATCCCATGACTCTGGGATGTTGCAACTGTCATAAATACATGCCAGTTGCCAAGTGCCTGAATTTTGATCACATGACCATTGGGATGCTGCAGTGGTTATAAGTGTGAGAACCAGTTGCAACTTCAAATAGTTGCTAAACAAATGGTTGTAAGTCAAGGGCTACCTGCACGATGCCCTCCAGCCAAAGTGGAACTATGATCTCAGAATTCCCAGTTATCCCATAACCATGCTGATTAGGAATTCTGAAAATTGTATGCCCAACATTCTGCGGGCATCAAGCTGGGAAGGCTGTTCTAAAAAAATATAACTATTAACTTAAATTTATTACAGCCACTCAGTCCCATAGGATTTCTCTTGAGTACTAAGTTACTTTAAATATAACATTTAGCATACGATCTTGCTGGCTATTTTGAAAGTAGATATCGTCTCAGGAATGTAAAGATGGAATCTGGTGAGACTTGGAAAAAATGCCTATTTTGTAGGGTAGCTTATTATTCCTTCCCTCCCTCCTCTTCCTCCTCCCCCATTCTTTTCTTCTCTTTGCAGAAAGTGGTTGGTGGCCAGCGATCAAGAGAATTAATGGAAGAACAGACCAGTCAAAATTATGTAGAATTTTTGGATTTGGAGAAAACCATATTGGTTCGGCTTGGATTACTCAAGGGACCAGATAAATATACCCCCTCGAGAATCATGTAGTTTTACAACTACTTAACAATAATGAACAACTTCAGAATAGCTGTGACTCCAACATATATACTGTAATTTATACTGCTGCAAGTCCTTCCACAAAACAGACACCCAGATATTTTTATTTCACCGCTACTTGTGCCTTCGTCAGTGAGAATGGCCAAAGATAGCAGTCAAACATGTATGTGCTGTTCTTCCCTATTCCTATATTATGTATAATAAATGTATACTTAAGCAACATTTATTGTTAATTCGCTCTAGTGTCATAATGCAGATTTAATAAACTCCTGTTTCTTTGTAAAATATGGCATTGTGGAAGCTGTCATGTTAAAAGAAAACAAAAAAAAGGTAACTCAAGGGTACATTTTGTATTAGGACTAGATGACCTCCAAGGTCCCTTCCATCATCGTCATCATCATCATCATCATCATCATTTTATCATCATCGTCATCATCATCATCTTACAAGTGAGTCTCACCTTTCACCAAGGTCAGCATTCTGAGTTCACACACAGCCCTGCTCATGTTATAGTTTCCATGTTTGAAAGTGTAGCAGGAGGTAAAGTCCTGCATAATATTTCAGTGGGGCTACTGCAGGATAAAGAATGGAGCCACTTTTGTTTTGAAAGCATCAGTGTGCTGCACTTCTTTTTGTAATGCAGCTGCTACAGATCACATGAACGAACAATATACTAAAGAATTTACTGCACATTTGCACATGGGGACAGAAATTTTTAAAGATGATACATTTGTTTTGTTGGGTATGTTAAATACCTAAAGCCATGTCCTAATCACCATACAGCAGGGAAATTGGGATGCTGCATTAATATGCATGCTAGTGATTGTCTTATCCAGGGCATCTCTAAAAAGTTATGGATTGCTGAATACAAAGATGAAAATTGTTTGATTTGTGCATAGCGCTTGCACTCTGGTTTCTAACATTACAGAGGTCAAAATGTAAGTATATTAGGAGTGATTCAAGAGCATCCTATTTAAAGAATGTCCAGTAACATTGGAATAATTTACAGTAGATTTGCCAATTTGGTTCAGGCCATCGGGTGCACTTATTTGGCACCAAGGACTGTAACCAGCACAATACCACTGAAAAAGAAAAACAAGAAATTCAAGAAGAAACCAGCATGACTGCATAAAGATCTCTGTGACAAACTGAAAGACAAAAAGGACAAATACAAAAAAATGGAAAGAGGGGCACATAGCTAAGGCCGATTATCAGCAGACAGCCAGAACAGGCAAAGATGAAGTCAGGAAAGCAAAGGCTCAGAACGAACAAAGACTTGCAACAGAAATCATGGATAATTAAAAAAAAGTTTCTTCCAACATATTAACAACAAGAAAAAAGTCAAGGAAATTGTAGGTCCACTAAAGAGAGAAGGTGGCAAGGAAATAACAGGCAACAGGGAGAAAGCAGAGCTGCTTAACTCATACTTTGCATCAGTCTTCACACACAAAGAAACTATAGCCCAACATACAAAAAAAAAAAAACCACTGCAAAAGACATACTAGAAAGAAAAAATAAGCAAGAAAATGGTAAGAGAATACCTATCTGACCTTGACGAATATAAATCACCAGGACATGACAGATTACACTGTACAATCAGAACACCAAATAATACAATGACAAACGGCTTCCGTACTGTTATCCCAAAAGAGCATGGGTGTCCTCAAGTTGAGGAGACCTGAAGAAAAACCTGGTTCCACTTTTTATCCCTCTCATAGCATTTGCTGGAGAAATCAGTGAGGGAAAATAGGGACTTAAGTTGTGGTTATGATCGTCCACAACTGGCGTCTGCTTGGCTTTCATAGAAACAGGATTCTGGAGAAGATGGACTCTGACCTGATAAAAGGGCCATCTGCTCTTATCAATTGTGAAAGGTTTGCCCCTCCAAATCATTACCCAAACTGATAGGTTAGATTAAGCCTGTGTTCTTCCCATTTCATAGCGAAGCAGACTAACAACCCTGGAAATAAAAATTCTTTTCACACACGTTAACAGTCTTATCTTTAAAATGTATTCTTAACATAATAACAGTTTACAAAAATACAAAATCAAGTTATTTTCAATGTTGGGTTTTATTCAGAATTAACATAGTTCAAAAATAATTCACTTCCTGTACATACGCTTTAAAAAAATACATCACCTTATCAATAAATGCTTCAGGTTAAAATATATATATTTAAACTGTACCACTATATTGAAATGACTGTAAGTTGTGTACCGCCACTCTAATCATCATCATCATCATCATAATAAATTAACCAGACTGTATAAAATTTTGAAATATTTCTTTAAGGAAAATGTGGCAAAAATCATGCACCAAATTCAGTCATCCTATTGTCAATAAATAGCTAAAATAATTATAATAGACAATATCAAGGAACAAATTAAATAGCACTTGTACCAGGTCCATAAGAAAAAAAATGAGAACCGATAATGTAAATAAACAGAGAACCCCCCCCCCAGACCTATAATATAGGGTATCCTTTCCTTGTCCTCCAACTATCTTATCTTAAGATTATAATTCCGAGAATTCCTAGCTGGAATTGAGGAAGTTGTGATCCCCAAACAACTGAAGACATCAGTTGGTGAAGGTGGATGCAAAGCAAATAGTGTTCAAAACACTCTTTAAAAGATAATGGCTTCCCCTGCTTGCTAACTAATATTTTTAAAGGAATGCCATTTAAGACATACTATACTCCAGGGGTCTTCATACTTGGCCCTTTTATGACTTGTGGACTTCAACTCCCAGAATTCTTCAGCCAGGCATGCTGGCTGAGGAATTCTGGGAGTTAAAGTTCACAAGTCATAAAAGAGCCAAGTTTGAAGACTCCTGCTCTACTCCATTGCTATCTCTTTTTTTAATAGGCACCTGGTTGTAATTTATTGCTGCCAATGGGTCTTATTGCTTGACTGCAGACAGAACTTAAATTTGCATCAGGCTTGTATTTACTTTGGTTCACATGAATATCAAAAATCTGCAGACCAATCCAATCAGCATTTATTAAACTCACCATGCTTACAGCAAACCGAAAGAACTACCAATATTCAGTTAAGAAAACTGGAAAGATAAAGAATACATTGATCGTCTTAGCACTTAATGACATTCTTGGGATTAAAGAAGCTAGACCAATTGGAATGAAGACCTTCAAAATGATTCAGGCCATTTGAAACACATTACTTTAAAAGGCACTTTCTTCGTTCATATCAACCTTTGAAAAAGAGGTGAACTCTTTGGGGGTCGCCCTACAGTGGATGAACATGTAGAAATGTATTAGGGGGACAGGCATAAAGTATATAATAAGTGGTTCTTTATCACAAAATAAGGAAGCAGCACAACTGTCAAAATTAAGGAGCTTCCCATTAGCACAGCAGAAGGCAAAATTCTCTGTTCAGGAAAAAAATTGGACAAGGTACACAGTAAGGTACTCCTCAACTTATGACCATTAATTTAATGATGGTTCAAAATTACAAAGGCCTTAGAAAGAATGACTTATAATCCATCCTCAAAGTTACAACCATCACACTAGGCCCCCCACCCCATTACGTGACCAACATTTAGGCACTTGGCAACTGGCTTGACTTTACAACTATGTGACTGACTTAACAACCACATGATTCACTTAATGACCACAGTGATTTGCTTAATGACCATGGTGAGATGGTTGTAAAATGAGATCTGGTCATGTGATGACTTATAGAACAACCACATCGCTTAGCAACCAAAATTCCATTCCCAATTGTGCTCATAAGTCAAGGACTACCTGTAATGATGTAGAGTTAGACATTTCCAATCCAATAGGACTGATATGATAATGCCCAAGCATGGTTCACTATATCTGGAGAGGCTTTAACTAACTCAGCTGCCTTGATTGCATTAACACAGTGCTAACGTTAGGCCAATCGGGCTAAAGATCTGCATTTAAGGTCACTACATTTTTTTTTAAAATGTGCATATTTGTGGACAATTTGGCACAATAACTCTGTTGGACCACAATACAAATTTATTTTGATTTGGTAGAATAGCTGCTATGGTCTCTCCCAAGCAATCAGTCTCCCAAGCATCTCTAGAAACATATATTTTTAGTTTCACAATGAGAATTTCAGAAAGGTGTGACAAACAGGCCATCGTGTCTGGACAATTTGTTATCATAGATCCTTTAAAGTAATTTGTATGCTTTTAGTTGCAGCCTTCATATATCTCAGTGTTCAACACTTTCTTGTCCAGGGTATCACACAACTACTTATGTGTGATTGTTTGACACCACAATGGGCAAGTCTCTTTTCAAGCTCTCTTTAGTCAGATTTAGATTGGGCCAGATGGGCACAGTGCTGTCACGTGGAGTCCATGGTGCTCTCTGAGCTTGTTTGCTTGCAGATATTTCATTACCCATTAAAATGCTGATGTTACTTAGCTGGATAAACATTTGCAAACAAACAGCCAAACTCAGAGAGCACCAAGGACTCCACAATTCAACCCTGAGCTATACATACTCTTTTCTACAGTGCTGTCATGTATAACATCTCCAATAGGGCATAAAAAATACTAATTTTACTTGACTGGCATGGGGGGAAAGCTGGGCAAAGTATAGAAGTAGTGCACAATCATCTAATACAGTACTAGGGGCTGCTCTCTAGGAAGATATGATATTTCCTATGCTAATCTACCCTCATCTGTTGATCTCTTAATTTCTCTCTCTCTCTCTCTCTCTCTCTCTCTCTCTCTCTCTCTCTCACACACACACACACACACACACACACACTCGCATACCACACACACCATCATCACTATGCTGGGAAATGAAAGAATTGTAGTTTACCACAGGTGTCCCCAACCCCCAGGCTGTGGCCCACTACCGGGCTGCAGCCTGTTTGAAACTGGGCCACGCAAGCAATGGGCAAGCATGAGCGGAGGGCCCTTGTGCTTGCACACGAAGCTCCATTCGCATAAGTGGAGGGCTGCGAGACTGCTGCTCACACCAATGGAGCTGTGCATGCACGCATGCATCTGCCATTCACCCGCCTGCCCCCCCTCCCTGCGCTGGGCCGTTAAGCTGGAAAAGTTGGGGACCACTGGTTTAACATATCTTCAGAGCGTCAGGTTGGAGAAGAGAGAAGAAACTCTTATCCTGCGCAACAAAACATATCGCAACTAGACCGGCCCAACTCATGCCTGTTTTTCCACATATAAATATCTACAAAACAAAAGTTAGAAAAATATTTTTGCAGTTTTAAATAGTTGCTTGAAAGTGTTATTACAGGGATACATCAATATTCATACAAATTAACTATCAAAAAGCCTTTTTTCTATAGCAGCCTTTGCATTGCAAGTGAGAAGGTGTCAATATAATAGAACGTGACCTACACACAGTTTGTGCCGCATATTATCACTTAAGTAGCAACATTAATCTTTTCTCTTCTGGGAGAACATCCATACTAGGGCTAAGGTTTCAGGAACAAACTGTACTGTTCCAGTGTAACAAAGATAGAGATGATGCATTATACATCTTCGATAAACTGTTCAAATTTCCTAAGTGCATAGTACCTTGACAAGGAATATTGTTACATTGTTTTATAAAAAGTAACATGCTTTCAAATGGAGAAAGTAAGACTGTAATAGGAATGCCTAACTTACACAGCGATCTTCAAAATTGCCCAATGCAATTATAATACAGATCCCCATCCAAAACTCTTCCTTATTCACTCCTGGTGGAATACAACAGAAGGGACACACAAAACTGGAGACATGGCAAAGCAAAGTGATCAACAACTCACGTTGAGCTTGTTTTTATTGAGTTCCCGTTCCAGGTTGCCTATCAGAGTATCAATGCTTTCTTGCAAGTTTTTGAGGTTAACTTGATGGTTCACTGCAGAATCCATTGTTTGCATTGTCAGATAGGCCTGAAAGGTATGTTCTTTGGATACACAAATGGGCCGCCGGAGCAGTGTTCTAGAAGCATCTGCTTTGCTGCCATCATCTCCACTTTCTGCCTCTTCTGAAGGAACATCATCATAGTCTGCTTCGCTCAGAGCTTCTTTGGGACTGACAAAGTAGTTCTCTCCACAAGCCGTCCAGTCTCCAGCATAGCGGTTGCTTGAAGGGCTGTCCAGTCTGGCTGGCCTGGATCGCAAGATCCCAGACACTTCGCTTAAATTTAACATTTGAGGCCGCTGTTTCTTAGGCCTCAGATAGTTCACAGAGGACTGCTGCTCCAGCAAGGCTGACTCTTCAGCTGATGGATGTTGCACTATGATAAAGCATAATTGGAACTCACATTAGCTTAACAGTACATCTTAAAAGAAAGCAGTAATATTACATTGGGTTTTTTTCCCACTGGTCTATGACTTGGAACATGCATTTATGCATGCACACTGAACAGCCAATAATTCTATTGTACTGATTTTGGTACCAGCCAGTCAAGTTATATTGAAAAGAAAAAGCCAACTAGTAAATATTTCATCTTAAGACTACCATGCCTACTGCCGCTGGAGGAATCTATTAAAACTGGAAGTTTAACCTGATTAACTCTGCAAGTTAATTTTGCAAGTTAATCGCAGTCCAAAATCACAGTACAGTTCAAAGAAGAGCTTCCAAATGCGTTCTACAATCAACTATGTAAGAAAAAGCAGGCAGAACAAACACACATTTGGCACTTTTGTTACCTGAACTCACGGTTTTACCGCTCTAGAAACTAAGTCTCCTCTTGTTATCGCCTTCCTATGGTAAACAGTACAAATGTTTTATTCACCAACAACTGCTACATAATTCAACTGTAAAAGTTTCTCTTCCAAGCATCTCTCTGTAGTATTGGTTCTATTATTATTATTTGCTCTACTATTATGATTTTTTGTTCTACTATTCTTATTATGGATTCTATTGTTATTTTTGCTTATAACAATATTCTGGTTGCTAATGGAACACAAGAGACATTATTCCTACCAAGAAGGCTGAACTTTCTCAGTAAGAGTTGATAAGGAATGGCGAGAAAACGGCAGCACAGACTAATGGAAATTAGGTCCAAAAGAATTGGGGGAACTTTGAATTGTCTCAACAGTACTGGATGGATGGCGTTTGTATCTCACTAGCTAGTCTTGTCAGAAGATGCAAAAACTGATGAATGTGCAGTGGAAGCTTGTTGTAAAGAATGTAGAAGGAAGGTAGCGTGAAAAGATCTTGTATGACCAGGAAAGCCACAAGGAGAAAAAAACATGAGTGAGGATTAAGTGCCATTGTAGTGGGTGGACAGTTAGGAAAAGAAGAATGCACTTTCAAGACTTAAACAAGTAGTCCTCAACTTATGAACTTTCATTTAATGTGTTTGTTTACAACAGTGCTGAAAAAATGGACTTACAACCAGCTTCTGCCATTGCAGCATTCCTGCAGTGATGTGATGTTATCTCTAGTGCTTAGCAACTGTGGTGCATATACAATGGTGGCAGCATCCTGTGGTCATGTGATCACCATCTGTAACCTTCCCAGGTGGCTTCTGACAAGCAAAGTCAATGGGGCAAACCAGCAATTCAGGATCATATGATGTCTTGCTTAACGATCATGGCAGAAAAGGTCATAAAATGGGGCGCGACAAATTTTCTGGCCCCTTATTTTCATAAGTTGAGGACTACCTATATATTCAGCCTCTTAAGTTACAGATGGAAAACATTTGGTAAACACCAAGCATATCTTTCCTGCTGGGTTGGCATTTCTGTCCTGTGAGGCTTTATGTGATATCTTTCTTCAAAGCCCATCATGAACTGCAGTGGCTCTGCAATTTCCAATAGTATCTGCCAGGGGTTATATTATTTATGTATTTGTTATATTTAATCATAATTTTCCCTTCAGAACAGGGGTTCCCAACCTATGGGCTGTGGCCTACTGGCCATCGGGCCGCAGGACAGGCTGGCCAGTGCACACACAACACCCCTACTCGTGTTAGTGCGGCAGCTGCAGGGTGCAAAAATGGGCCGATGGTGTGAAAACGGGCTGCCACTGCGCCGCAGGGCATGGAAACGTGGTGCTGCACCACACAACAACGGGGCAGGGCTAGTATCATGTGGGCACTAGCCCTGCCCTGTGTGTTGTGCATGTGCTTGCAGCCCCACATGTGCGCGTTCTCATGCACATGTGTAAAATGCTTCCCCCTCCCTTTCCCTCCGGTCCGCCAACTGTGAAAGATTGGTGATCTCTGCTTTAGAAGGAAAGGGAGCTTGTTGTGATATAAAAAGTTAACTCCAGCACATAACAAGAAGCTAACAAATGCAACCTGCCACTTACTTAATCACATGAGTAAACTTTCAATCCAGTTCAAATATCTCCCTGGAAGTAGTATATCTTACTTGTCTAACAACTCTGGTTTTTTGTTTTAAAAAGATGAGAAAACATGTACATCAACAAAAGCTCTTCTGATTAGGATTTTTTTCTTTGAAACAAAGGGCTCATGTGTTAAACCTTAAGTGGCAGCATTATTAAATTTTCTGAATAAACAAGGGCCATGATTTTTCAATAAACAAAGAGATAAATGAAAAGCTGAAATGGGTCACAAGCATAGTTATCAAGTTTTCCATATACATCAGTGGATTAATGTTTGGCTTCACTCCTTCACAGGAACAGAGCTCACTCCACAATGTTTAATTACCTTTTTCAAAAGCCAAAGAACTTGGCATGGTATCTGGTAGTTACAGAAGAGGCTGAAATTCTTAAGCTTATGTTAGTTCACTTCTTTGACAATATATATTCCCAGTCATCCAGGAGATATCTTTACAAAGAAAATCCTTCTTCAAGAATCTGACTGTTAATAACTCAATTTTGAATAACCAGTCAAGCAACTATATTAGTTATTTCCATATGTTTGCCTGAGCAGATAACATCAGTTGTCCACATTCAGGGGGAAAAAAAATCTCGGCTTTCGTTCAACTGTCAACTGACAACCTGACCATCATGGTAGCAATGAGTCTTCAAAGTAAAACTGAAAATAACTTTGCTTTTCCAAAAAGTGGCGTTATACATGTGACCACCAGAAGATGCTATTGCTAAAGCAGAGATCAGCTGCTCCAAAAACACTTTGGACTGTTTAAAAATCAGCTGCTGAAGTTAAACCAAGGCCAAAAGCTAAGCCTCTGAATATCTGCCTGAGAGAAGCTATAGGTAGAACCAAGGTTATCAAATAATAAGCATATAAAAAGAAGGAAATGGCAGAAGTCTCCAATAGAAAAGACAGAGAGAGAGAGAGAGAGAGATGAAAAAGAGATGCTCTTTGGACATAGAGGCAGTGGCCATGAGTATAATACATGAGTCAAGTCAATGGGGACGACTATCTTCTTACTTTGTAGTTTCCTGCCATTGACTAAGTCAGGGGTGTCAAACTCGCAACATCACATGACATGTTGCGACATATCATGATTTTTTTTCCATTGCCGGTAATGGAGTGGGCGCAGTTTTGCTATGATGCATCCGGCCTGCGGGCCGGCAGTTTGACACCCCTGGACTAAATAATACAGGCCCAAAAGACACAGCTAAATTCTGGCAAGGGCACTGGTAATAAACACACAGTTCTTATCTTCTTATTATGTGTGCAAAAATAAAATTCTCATTCATCTTTATTTCTTTAAAGAAATTTAAGGACAAAATACACAAGCCTGGAAGGGATGCAAAAGTAAAAGGATACATTAGCAAAGTATTACTTTATGTAACTAATGAAGTGAAAAAATGGTTACAATAGCATAAAGTTATATAATTGATGAGCCATAATAACAAGTATAAGTAATGCGGCATAATACATTTGTCTTTGTAAGTTTATGCTACAAAAAAAGTTTGAACAATGCAAGGGATTCCACTGCTTTTACTGCAACAGAATAACACATTGCTTTGAAAGAAATTAAATATTCTCCATTAATGAGATTTTTTTTTTACCTGTCCACAACTGGAGCAGATAATGTAAAACTTCTATATGTTTTTTGAAATCCAAGGCACTGGCCAGTTCTTCTGAATCAGTGAACACTCTGTTGTTGTGGCTCGTAGTTTCCTGCCACTGACTAAGTAATACAGGCCCAAAACACACCGCTAAATTCTGGCAAGTCATTCTGTTTACTTCATGGTATGAAGCCACCAGTTTCAGATGGTCCAAGAGCATCTTTAGGGTTGCCTAAAGAAAAAGCGGGACAGTATTAGTTCATTAATTACAATAATGTAATTAAGAAGCGAGGCAGTGGCAATGTTATTGAAGGCCTTGTTCCTTTAATTCCATCACAACATTGTCATTCATGCCTACTAGCGGTGTCCACTTAAGATAACATTTCAATTATATCTTTTTGTGAAGCAGAAGAGCACACAGATCTGAGGATTTTGCAGCTGCTCACTATCCTATACATGCCCTTAAGGAAATATTTTGCAAAGGCCAATGAACTGAAATTTTCTGCATACTTACTTGGAAGTAAACCACACAAAACACCAATCTTCAGCCTGGAGAAAGGCTTTAACGATCAGCCTGGTCTCATGAACTAATTTAATAGCACTGCATTTAAATACAACTAAATAGCACAGAAATTCTGCCCCATAATTGGTACTAAATTAAATGGCCGGAATTTTTTTGTTGGGGCTCATCTCCCCTGCAAAAAGACCCCTTTCCCCTAATTTGTTTGCCCTTTGAGGTCACAGGCAAACTTTGTATGAAACTACAATTTTTTCCTGTGCCAAAACCAACAAACATAGTAAGATGTTCCCACTGCTTCATTCAGAACACAGGAAGCTGCATTACCAAAATTGGAATACCACACAATCCAGCTCATAATTATTATCTGATTAGACCCTCTGAAGTTTCAGAAAAATTTCTTTCCCAGCCTAATTGGATTTTTTTTTGTTTTGGCTTTATTGTGATTTATAGCTCTTTATTTGCAACAGCTATTGCAGATTGCCAGGTGAATAAATTATCTCTTTTAAAAAAAGGTACCATACTAGTGAAAGCAGATATAAAATCAATGTTGGCATTCCACTGCAAAGACAGAAGATAATTTAATCAACATTTGGGGGTTGTTGTTGTTGTTGTTTTGCTATTTCTTTATCAGCTGAAAGCAATAGTTTATGAAACGCCCTATCATAACCAAACTTACTCAGGAAAGGGAATGTATTGTCAAGTAACATGTCTAGGGTTAAATACAAAGCATAGTCAAAAAGAAGGGGAGAGATGCTGATGATAAATAAAGCCATCTTTTTGTAACATCTGAGGGAAGCAACTCTGGTTAGAAAAATGTTTTGTCTAGCTTCCTGCCCATAAAAGGCTACAGCTGGTTTCTTTCATTAGGTTTCTCTTCAACAGACGGTTAAGTTTCCACATTGTAATTCAGCATATTATGACAGCGTATAAAATCAATTAAGGAGCATGTTTTAGGCATAGGTGTCCAAAAAGGATAGCTTGCCTTGTGTATAGTACCTTGTGTATAGTACCTTATTGCCCAGAGTTGCTGGGAGTTTAATAAATTATTATTAGCAAATCAAAACCATTATAGGTAGTCCTCAACGTATGACAATTGGGACCACAATTTCCCTTGCTAAGCAAGGCAGTTGTTAAGCATGAGTACCTATTGTAACTCACATTTTTCTTTGAACAGTCGCTAAACAAATGGTTGTTGAGGACTAGCTGTATTGTTAATATTCATTAAGTATTCACTGTGTTCAACTTTGCTTGAAAACCATTCCTTTCTACCAATAACCCTGAATAAAGCCCTTCTGTATTATTTGACAGTGCAAAAAAAATGTGATCTGAAGATCGGATTTAAGGAAACCATTAGATCAAATTATTACCTCCAAACTGATCTGATTATTTCATTGCTTTGCACATGCATAACAAGTCTCTGTCCTCCCCCACACTGTCCAGGATAAATGTTTCCCAATCCAAATCCATAATGTTTGCCCCAGTTTGGACTCCTGATGAGAATTGCCAAGCGGGAGCCCTTAAAGGCACAAGTTCCCTTTCATGTGCTTCTCTTTGCTTATTATATGGGACCTGCTGTGTGCAATAATGGAAACACAGAGAAAAACTGTGATTTCTGACAGTGGATAAGCTTAGCCACAAAGCTAAAAGAGGCTGCACAAACAGCGGCACCTGAATAATCAGGCTAAAGGAGCACAGGTGGTTGTGTCCCTTAGTTTAGGTCAGTGGTTCTCAACCTTTTTAATGCCGCGACCCCAACCGGTCGTAAGTCGAGGACTAAACCGGTCGTAAGTCGAGGACTAAACCGGTCGTAAGTCGAGGACTAAACCGGTCGTAAGTCGAGGACTAAACCGGTCGTAAGTCGAGGACTACCCAACCAGTCGTAAGTCGAGGACTTTCCCTGCCCAGTAGCGCCGCGCATGCGTGGTTCCGCCCTCTGCGCCGGCCGAGGCGTAGCTGGCAAGCGGCAGAGATGGAGCAGGCCGACCACCAGCTGGCCCAGCCCAAGGGAGGTAAGGCACCCGCCGGAAAAGGGGAAAAAATGGCGGACAAAAAAATGGCGGACAGCCTTGCTTGGCGACCCCTGTGAGATGGTCGATCGACCCCAAATGGGGTCCCGACCCACAGGTTGAGAACTACTGGTTTAGGTGCTAATGGGCACTTCCCATACTCAGCCTAACTTCCAAAGCATATAAAACATTAAACCTCTATAATCTGGGGGGATAACCCCATGTCTATATTAATTTTTGGTGTCCTGAGCCATAATGATGCCTCTTTCCCTCATCTCCAGCATATCTACACTTTTCTAACATCAAAAGAAGTTTATTTATTTTATTTTTAAACTTCTATGNGCATAGGTGTCCAAAAAGGATAGCTTGCCTTGTGTATAGTACCTTGTGTATAGTACCTTATTGCCCAGAGTTGCTGGGAGTTTAATAAATTATTATTAGCAAATCAAAACCATTATAGGTAGTCCTCAACGTATGACAATTGGGACCACAATTTCCCTTGCTAAGCAAGGCAGTTGTTAAGCATGAGTACCTATTGTAAATCACGTTTTTCTTTGAACAGTGGCTAAACAAATGGTTGTTGAGGACTAGCTGTATTGTTAATATTCATTAAGTATTCACTGTGTTCAACTTTGCTTGAAAACCATTCGTTTCTACCAATAACCCTGAATAAAGCCCTTCTGTATTATTTGACAGTGCAAAAAAAATGTGATCTGAAGATCGGATTTAAGGAAACCATTAGATCAAATTATTACCTCCAAACTGATCTGATTATTTCATTGCTTTGCACATGCATAACAAGTCTCTGTCCTCCCCCACACTGTCCAGGATAAATGTTTCCCAATCCAAATCTATAATGTTTGCCCCAGTTTGGACTCCTGATGAGAATTGCCAAGCGGGAGCCTTTAAAGGCACAAGTTCCCTTTCATGTGCTTCTCTTTGCTTATTATATGGGACCTGCTGTGTGCAATAATGGAAACACAGAGAAAAACTGTGATTTCTGACAGTGGATAAGCTTAGCCACAAAGCTAAAAGAGGCTGCACAAACAGCGGCACCTGTATAATCAAGCTAAAGAAGCACAGGTGGTTGTGTCCCTTAGTTTAGGTGCTAATGGGCACTTCCCATACTCAGCCTAACTTCCAAAGCATATAAAACATTAAACCTCTATAATCTGGGGGGATAACCCCATGTCTATATTAATTTTTGGTGCCCTGAGCCATAATGATGCCTCTTTCCCTCATCTCCAGCATATCTACACTTTTCTAACATCAAAAGAAGTTGAATGAAATGCCTCCAAAATAAGATTGCTTACCAAAACGGAGTGGGGGGGGGAATCTACATAATACTGCTTCGTATTTGCTTGATAGCCACTGTTCACTTCATCTCTCAAACAGAACTTTATTTTCTTGTTTTTTTACACATACATATTACCTAGATAGTCAGCTCACAATCTGTTCTACCTGAAGCTATCTGATTTGGGCTATAAAACACAGTCTCCAAAAGCCAAAAATAAAACAAAGCCAGTTAGTTTTATACCATATCATGGACATCTTGATCTTTGTGGATTTCACAACCCTTGTTCTAATTTACCAGCAAAATCCAACTTGCCTCAATAATTGGACAACTGTGTTAGTGCACTGCTGGCCAATCTGCTATTATCAACCTTGAGTAGCTTCAGGCAATGTTTTAGTGTTGATCTCTATCATATTTTTTTCCCTGGAAGTTGCAGCAGCAAACAGTTCAAGGAAAGGAATGGTTATATAACTGTCTACCTTTAGCTGGCATCAGACAATAGCAGCAAGGGAAAGCTACCAAATCACTGTTCACATCACTTCCTCATACTTGTTAGGGAGAAGGGAATTAAACAACTTACTGAGGGTTTGGAAGGATTAAGGTTAGGCAGACTGGTGAATCTTTTTAAAGGAATGCTTAAGTAGTCCTTCTTTGAATGCAACTGCATGCAAGTTTCGTGCTGGATCTATCCTGCTATAAGATATAGACTGGCTTGATTATAGAATAATTCCAACAAATCTTCTTAACAAAGTGACTTTGCAAACCTAATGGCAAAGCTGAGTTACTGCCAGAACTTGCTCCTATTCTGCCTGGACAAGCCGGCAGCCAACCTGCCCAGTGGGCATAGAGCAAATTGAATATGGTCTAATGGCTTTCATGTGCAACGCTGGATCACTTCTGGCGATTCTGCCTGGACAAACCAACAGCTGCTTTGTACAAGCAACATCAAAGCGGATTCTGACAATCTCCAGCAAGAGGCATGCAAGTCCAGCTCAGAATTGGCTCTGTCAACAAGCTGGCAGCGTAATCCTCATTTTCTCCAACGGCTGCTATAAAAAGCAAAAATCAATCCAAAATAAATGTAGAATCCAAACTGAGAGTCGCTTGGTCAAAAACAAAGTCCAGATTTGCAACAGAAATGAAATTCATCTTTCCTATTAAAAACAGGGCTTTACACGTCATTCATTTATTATTTCAGTAAAAACTGATAAAGTTGCAAGGTTCTATTGTCCTTTTTATCTGACATAGAGATTAAATGTTAATGATTAAAAATAATGAAAGTGTTAGTATTACTTGGGGGGGAGGCTACACAAATGTATTTATTTGAGGAGATCATGGTATCACAAATGTTGAGAATCCCTGATGTGCTCTAATATCTTGTGAATTAATTAATTCACTGAGCTGACTTAGCTGAAGTCAATGAAAATCAAGTGCTAGGCTGCATTAACAGAGGGATAGAATCAAGATCACATGAAGTATTAATACCACTTTACAATGCCTTGGTAAGGCCACACTTGGAATACTGCATCCAGTTTTGGTCACCACGATGTAAAAAATATGTTGAGACTCTAGAAAGAGTACAGAGAAGAGCAACAAAGATGATTAGGGGACTGGAGGCTAAAGCATATAAGGAACGGTTGCTGGAATTGGATATGTCTAGTTTAATGAAGAGAAGGACGAGGGGGGACATGATAGCAGTATTCCAATATCTCAGGGCCCTGAGATATTGGAAGAGGGAGAAGAGGGAGTCAAGCTATTTTCCAAAGCGCCTGAAGGCAGGACAAGAAGCAACGGGTGGAAACTGATCAAGGAGAGAAGCAACCTAGAACTAAGGAGAAACTTCCTGACAGTTAGAACAATTAACCAGTGGAACACCCTGCCTCCAGAAGCGGTGAATGCTCCAACACTGGAAGTTCTTAAGAAGAGACTGGACAGCCATTTGTCCGAAATGGTATAGGGTTTCCTGCCTGAACAGGGGGTTGGACTAGATGACCTCCAAGGTACCTTCCAACTTTTTTTATTATTATTATTATTATTATTATTATTATTATTATTATTATTATTATTATTATTATTATTATTATTATTATTATTATTATTATTTATGAAGTCAAAGTTTTATTCTGAAAGAGGGGAAAATGAGAGAGAAAGTGAAGTCATAAAGGTAGTCCTTGACTTAGGACCATAAATGAGCCCGGCACTTCTGTTGCTAAACAAGACAGTTGTTAAATGAGTTTTGCCCCATTTTGTGACCTTTATGCCACAGCTGTTAAGCAAATCATGCAATCCTTAAGCAAATCTGGCTTCCCCCATTGACTTTGCTTGTCAGAAGCGGGCTGGGAAGGTTACAAATGGTGATCACATGACCCTGGGACAGTGCCACTGTCATAAATACATGCCAGTTGCCAAGCGCCTGAATTTTGATCACATGATCATGGGGATGCTGCAACAATTGTAAGTGTGAGCACTGCTCGTAAGTCACTTTTTTCAGTGCTGTTGTAACTTCAAGCAGTCACCAAATGAATGGTGGCAAGGCAAGGACTATCTATACTGCTTAAGCCATGTACTAAGTTTGATGGGTCAACAATACTTACTTTCTCAACTTCTGGCAGGCAATCCAAGAGAGCCATTGTATATTCTGAATCATTCAAATCATTTTCACATCCATTTGCTGTCATTTTCAAAGGTCTTTTTACCATGGCATCCAACACTGCTTCATAAAGTTGCTTGGTTATCAATGGAGAAGGCAACTCCCTTAAATAATCTTTGAGGATACCTAAACAAGGCATGCAGAGTAAACAAAGTGTAATGAATTTACCAGAAAGTCACATTACAGCAGGACAATCAGTAGTGCTCATGCAGAAATTATCTCAAAATTGGGTATCTTGGAAATACATATATATCAAATTACGCCAATTCTCAAATCTGAAAATCATTTACAACTCTGAATGTTAATTCTTGTTTCTTTTATTCTATCTATACACTGTGTGCTCCTTAAAGGAAATGCCAACATTAATTTAACAATGCTCTTATTGGGGTTAGCAATCATAGCATTAAATCACTTATTTTAATACACGTAACATTTTATCAGAATATTTTTAAATACAATGCATCATAATAGTCATAACCACAAGTGAATACAGATTGTTCTGCCCCTCCTCAGAACTGGTGCAAATGTTTTATTGATTCTTATTTACATATGTTAATTCCATGGTGTCTCATCTCATTCAAAACCAAATTTCAGAACTGGATATTCAAGACAAAGCTGCTAACAAAGATGTTGCAATGTCTTAAATCCCCTTCCTTCACACATACGCCATCCACTCTAGTTCCAGCCATATGCAGGTCAGTGGCATTTTTTAAAAAACTCAACACATATACTGCTGCCAAATACCACTGCCCCAGTAAAGATCTGCCACTGCTATTTTGATTGTTCCCTTACACCAGGGGTCTTCAAACTTGGCCCTTTTATGACTTGTGGACTTCAACTCCCAGAATTCCTCAGTCCACAAGTTATAAAATGACCAAGTTTGAAGACCCCTGCCTTACACTCACCAACATTGCCAGCTCCGGTGCTCTGCTAGATGCCAAACAGCTGATCAGTGCCCCAGCTACTCCTTTGCGGCCCACATTTATTTTTAATTTACCAGCCTGGCTCTGTCTTCTCTACAAATTGTGCAGGCCATTGTAATGCAGAACCCACAATTCCTGAAACAGACGCAGTCCCTCTCAGATCATGGGCATCATTTCCAGCAGTTGCAGCTAATTACAAATTTTAATTAAACAGAAGTTTGAAATTATTAACTATATGGGACAGTGGTGATGTGTACTGGATTTACTTAATCTAATGTCCATTAAATTAAGTTTTCTTTGGAGGAGGAGACTCAAATGCCATGTGTAACCCTTAGCTGAAGATGGGCTTATATTTATGATAATTGTTTTAAGTATTTGTTTTATTTCTGTTGTACACTGCCCAAAGTCACGTTTATAAAATGGATGGCTATATAAATTGGATAAATAAATAGATGTTACACGACTAAGACATTCAAGCCCAAGCAGCAGAGTTCCTAAAAAGTAAAACAACAAAGTAGCTGAAAATAAAAGGAGGTATAGCTGAACTCATATCATGGTTATATTAATTATGGTTGATTGTTTTTTTATCTCAGTTGCAGCTTGTTATATATTGATTTATTATGTGTTGTTTTTAAACACTGCTAGCCACCTGAGTTACATATTTGAGATAGGCAGCTGTACAAATTGAGTAAACACATACATACACCACAACTAACTCCCTCCTCCAAAGGCTAAACACTGCAGAATAAATCTTATCAAGTGAAAAATTTACCATATTAGTTTGATTGTTCTCTTAACATTACAAAATAGTTCTTGGTGGAAACAAAAATACCAAGCTAGATTTTTAAAAATGGTCTGTCTCTTTGTCTATTCTTTTTTTTTTTTTTTGAAAAAATGATTGAATTAGGGGAGAATTCAAAACTGAATTCAATCACAGCCTTTTAATTCAAAAAAATCAGAGTTAGAATAGGAATAATAATAATACTGAATCCAACCTTTCCTTTTATTCTGACAGTGGAAGCAGTCTCACTTCTTCTTCGCTATCACAATGCAGAAGTTATTTTACTTTATTTTAATCAGACAATAACACTTTTATTACACAGATGTTTTGAAAGATATGATAACATCACTAGGTAAATGCCTTCAGGTCCTATGAGCAATGTGGTCTCTGAGGTCTGCTCAGGCTACTTTTTACATTGTTAAGTCTCCCTTTAACTTTTTAAAAAATATATAATCTGATTTTGATAAAAATAAATTGAATTAATTGATTGCTTCTTCCCTATGACTAGATGGCATCCTATGCTTACTTAAAAGGCTGAAAAGCTTATTTGCACCTCTTCACCCTTTCCAACATTGCCCACCACTATCTTAGGAAAAACTACACAATCTCTTCGCTTGTGCAGCTGAAACCACAACATCCTGTTTATTTCAGGAATCTCTCCAATCCCCACGCTACATTTTGGGCTATAAAATATCAAGGCCCAAAAACAGATACATCATTTCCCCAAACTATTAAAATCTAAACTCAGATATTAATTGCTTTGCTCCCTATTTTGTTCGTGCATGCCGCTGAACATAAGCTGTGCCTTAATTAATAGTACTGTTTAATGCACAATGAAAACAAAGAGCTGAAAGTAGGAAGCTGAGATACCAATTTAAGTATCTGCCAAATAAAGGCCTTGTTAATCCCCAAACCATGACAGAAATACCACTGCTGAATTTTTCTTAACAAAGCAAAACTTGTTGCAAGTCTCAGTGTGCCTACCACAGATCTTACCCTATGACCCAACTGTAATGTGAACTGTGTTAATTGAAGACTTTGTTAAGAGAACAGAATTTTTAAGAGTAAAATAAGGGCCTCCATTTCTACTCTTCATAGAGGGGAATTCAGAAAGTTTCTGGGACTACACAATTTCAGTGCCACCCTCAGAATCTTCCAGGTTAAAGGGCTGTTTTTTGTCTAAATGTTTCAAGTAAAGGTTGTCCACAAATTAGCAATCTAAACCAAACTTTCCTCAACCTGATGCTGTGCAGGTAGCTTCAACTAACCTTCCTATAATCTCCAGACATACTATAATTTAGATCAGAGATGTCCAAACCTTGGCAACTTTTAAGACCTGTGGACTTGAACTCCCAGAATGATGGCTGGGAAATTGTGGAAGTTGAAGTCTACGAGTCTTAAAGTTGCCAAGGTTGGACATCTCTGCTTTAGATAATCCCAGTTTAGGAAAGGCTTAAATCAACAGCAGGGTCAAATGCTTGTAAATAACACTTCTGGGCCGGGATATATTGAAGTTTAGGAGTAGGGGAACTAATCACGAAAGATTTTTACTATCTTTCTAGCAAAAAAAACAAAACTGCTCTACAGACAGCACAAAATACCTAAGTAGGGGGAAAGGAGTCTGCTATGCCTTTTTAAAAGTGCTCATCAACAGGAAGGCACTTTTGGAATGTTTTTTCAAAGGATTCACACTGAGCTCTGCAATCAAGTCACCTGGTCTTTCCTTTTCAAAACACTTTCTCTTGCTTCATTCTTCTCCAAAGAAATTATCAGCCCTCTGACCCTACACTCTCTCCTTTTAGAGACTTTTAAGAGAAGGCAGTTATTTTTATGGACTAGCATCTCCTGACAGCTTTATTTTTCTTGTTCCAATCATCGCTGGCACAGAATATAGGCAGTAACCAGAGAAAATGCATACTTCTCCAGTCCACCTCATTAATTTCTCATTTTTCTAACCCACTGAACTGTCAACTATGTGGTGTGCTTTACTACAAGAGAGTTCACATGGCTGGAAACAGACATGAGGCAGAAATATCAGAAATCAGCCAGCTGCTAAATTTGCTAAGGCACAATATTCTGAATGACATGTGCATTTCACTGTAAGCCAGTGCCAGCCACAGAAACATTTCTGAGTCAAGGTTTAATAATTAAATGTGCATTTCCTGAGGAAAATGCAAAGTGGTTTTTCACTGAAGAGGAATTCTGAAGATTGGCAAATCACTAGTATCAAGAACAATGCTTACTACTTTATTAGTAATATATATTTATTAGTAATATATATATTACTATGCTCCAGTCTAATCTTTACAAATGTAAATCCATTCCACAGCAGTGCTCATTTTAATTAGACCAGCAGAGATATTTTCTACCCTTTTACTCGTCCATATTCTAAGAACAGGGTTCATAATTTGATGTCACCTGCAATCTTCTCCCTGTTGAGGATTCATAATAAACTAGACATCCCCGAAAAGCAGGGATGGCATTGCGGTGGAGACTGACAGCCAGAGGTGAATTCTGGCTGGCTCGGTCTATCCAGATAAGGGAGAGATTGTGAGATCACCCACTAAAACTCAGGACAGCTGCTCCTCATGAGTAGACAAAGGAAGTTGAGTTTTTTTTGTCAGTTGAACAGCTGGGAGTTGAGGGATTTCAATCAAGCTAATAGCTGTAATGAGCTTTTCTGACTGGAAACAGAGAGAGAGCCCCATACGAGCAATAGCAGCAACAGTTCTGCTACCCACCACAGAACTCAAATAAATTTCATTTCTAATGATCCAAAGCAGAATAAGTTGGATGAGGAATTTATCAAGTTTGCCCCCTAAGGCAGAAGTACCCTTCTACATTATCCAAGCAGCTGCTGAACAATCAATATCCTTTTTTTCAGGTCTGATAGTAAGGAATGATGGGAACTGTGGGGGGGGGAAAATCTCTGCAGCCTTGAAGTTGAGAAAAGTCTGATTGCTTGGCATTCTCACCAAAGAGCAGAACTTCACTTGCTATGAGAAATAAATAATCAAATCAACTCCTTCCAGTTACTGAACTTTCAACAGGTGCTGTTTGATAAACTAAGATTAATGATGACTGAGAGGTATCTTTTTAAACTTGAAAGCTGGGATTTTTAGGATATGAAACTCAGCAGCTGATTCCAGTTTCTATTCTTGCTACTATAAGACATAAAACTATCCCTGCATTGCTACATGCCCCAAATAAATCATAAGTAAGGGCTTTGAAGATTTACAAGACAAGATTAACAATTCAGTAGTGTCATATTAAACATTCAAGCACTTGAATATATGTGGCAGGCAGAAAATATGTGCTATTTTTACCATTCTTAACTATAAAATTCTATTTTGCTCTAGGGAGAGGAGACCGTCTGCATTGACTATTGACTTCTGAGGACTGCAGGGACTTTTTGATATCACTGGATTGGGCCAAGGGTTTTAATGTTGTAGTTTTAAAGCACAAAAATAATTGCATATAACCTCACAGATTATAATACAACCATTAGATTACAAGGCTTTTTCTTTAAAGGCTTATATATCAAAAGTTGTTATCGACATGTCTAACAACTTTGTTATGTAACTCTGACATGTTCAGAGGTGAATAACAGAGGCTAAGGACATGCAAGAAGTGTGGTCTGTTCCTCAGAAGTGCTGTGTGTAGACTTCCCACAACAATTGGCTGGTCTCCGATGAAAACAGGATACTAGTTCTAAGGATGGATGCTTGTTCTAAGACAGCAAAACTCTTTATGGGGAACACTATAATTCAGAGTCCGTGCATATAAATAAAAGCAGCTGCGACTGCTCAAAAGAAAAGAGGCAAGATGACAAGAGACTTTCTAATTCCAAAATAGCTGTAATTCAAACAATGTTGCTTGAAACTGTCCATCCCCACAGGAAATTCCACTCTGGAGACCTTCACGTCCTCCAAGAAGAGCAAAACAGAAATTTTACTTAAAAAGGAAGTTGTGAACATTTTATTCAACTGTGCGACAATGTAAAAACACTGAGAAAATTTAGCAGATGATTCAAGATGGTATCCCAAGAATGATATTTCTAACCATTTATACTGGAGATGATACTTTAGAACAGGGGTGTCAAACTCACAACGTCATGTGACATGTAGCAACGTATCACGGCTTTTTTGCCATTGCTGGCAATGGGGTGGGCGCGGTTTCGCTATGATGCATCCAACCCGCAGTTTGACACCCCTGCTTTAGAATGTAACAAAATGGTGCAGATCCTCCACTTATTTCTTGCCTGCAAAAATACACACTATTGATTTGTACTGTGCAAACTTGGTCCTTACTTTTTGGAGGCAAAATCCTATTGAGATGTTTCTACCACCAAAGCCTTTTGAATCTCTGCATACCTGTGAATGCTCTAACATCTCTTGAATATTTTTGAGGTGCACAAGCAATGCTATTCACAGTCCAAACATTTCAAATGAAAGAAATAATTAACTTTCTTGCATAAGAAACCAAGAATGTACACTTTTTTGGAACAAATGTACAACTGCACAGACTCAAGTACAATAAATATTTAAGAAAGACTTGTGCAAACCTATGACAAAAGGCAGGGAAGCTATTTGGGGCATAATATGGAATATGATTATTTACATTTTCCCCTTCTGATTTATAAGACAGTAGATAATATGAACATGTATCATTTTCAGTGTGCGTGTGTAGCTGATATGTTAATTAAATTCCATCCTTATTGCCAGATGTAAAAGAAGTTCTGAGCATTTATTTATCCTTCTATAAAAAAAGCAAATTTGTTACCTGTTATCACATTTATATCTGGGTACTGAGTTTCACACAGAGTAACTGCTTTGCTATCCTTCTCAAATGCCTCTCGGAGTTCTTTCTTCACAGCTGCCGACCCACATAAACGGTACAGCCCTACAACCTAGAAATAAAATATAAATCTTACCAGAGCAACCTCATTTAGTTTAACAAATCAAATATCCGACAGAAATACAATTTTAAATAGGCTCAAGGTACCAAGATGTCCATGAAAGACCCTAAGAGGACTAGAAGGGAACCCTGTATGAAATAAAGCCTATCAGAAAAAAGGCAAGATTATCCATGTTGTATTAAGTATACTGACTGCACTAAGCAAAAGAGAGGAAAGAGCTATTTTAATTGTAATGAATGCAGTGGTATAATAGGACAGGGGAGACGCTTGTACGCTTACAGAGTGACTTTACGTTCAGTCCTAATGATCAACTTGATGGCTTAAGTCCACCTTAACTTCAGCACTGTCTAACCTAGTAGACTTTACCTGCCTACTCTATTAGAATTCTTCCTCAAGTGGTCAAGGAACAGGATGCTGGAGGAGTTTTCTCAGGGATAGCCATTCATTCTGAAATACAGAAGTTTGCATCCTGAAATGAGGGTGGCCCTTTCCCTATTCTTACAGGGTTGTCTGCACTGAGTGTGAGCTGTAAAGTAATATTTATAGATGAGAGTGCTATGGAAAACCAGATATAAATATCTAATTAAATAAGGTTAAATAAACCATTGGTTACCATAATATGCAAACCCAGTCTTTATCCCTTGATGCAGCACACCTGGCATGGTTATTATTGTTATGGGGAGAAAATGGGGGAAAAAACCACTGTTATCATTGTCTTTTTTATAATAAATTAATTATATGCATTTATGGCAGCTTGGACAAAGAAATTGTGTCTATTTTTAGAGAAGCATTTTTTTTTCTGCACAGCATAGCCAAATATCATGTAACTCTCAAGAAATCGTATGCAGGCAATTTGCTAGCAGTAAAACTTATTTAAAAGGCTCTTCAGATTAGGAACCCTTCTAATTAGGAATACGGTATATATGCCTCAAGGAATGGACCAACATAGTTTCAGCACAAAACCAAACCAAACAAAAATCTAAATCATACCGTGAAAGATTGCTTCTTTCCTAGAAAAGTATAATTAATCTCTAAGAGTTTTTTCAAAAGGCAATTCCATTAAAGGTAACATAAAAGGGAAAATAAGTTACAGCAAGAAAGATGTATTGTCTTAGCATTTTTAATGGAAGGTGGAATACAAGTTTAATAACCGCGGCACCTCATGTAGAAACTATGTGTAACACTCACTCTTTTAGATGCATCATTATTACAAATGAATGTTATTTCAGTTGTAGGATGAAGCATTGTTACTGTACGATGCAATGTAAGAGAGTGAGATACTGAATATAATATTAGATGAGAAAATATTTCTCATCTAAATACATCCTGTTACAGTTATAGAGTCCAAACCAGAGCTAAATGTTTACATGCTACTTGAAATTCAGGATTACATTTTCTCTAACAAATGGAGAAGTTGGATAAACAATTGTTTTATAATATAAACTAAAGCAGTATAAAAAAGCTTTAGTCATCAACATTAAATACCAAAGAGTATTATAGTACTTTAAATATTAACTCATTTATTACATTTTTCCCTAGAACCTAGACCACAAAAACTTCAACCACAATATATTTGCTAGACTTTTCTTATTTTTTCAATCCCCTTTTGGAAATTTCTAGATTAATGGTCTTTAAAATCACTACATTCTTGTGGGCTAAGGGACAATGTAAAGCACATGGCTGCATTTATAACCTGAGATCTAAAGGCTTAAACACAAGGCATTTAGCTTTCCCATAATAGGAAATCTTGCTCTCAATGAGTAAAGATTTCCAGTGACACCCATTTACTGAATACTGGGGTGAATTTGTGGGTGTTCCTGGACTCTTGTTACCCACTTATGTTTTTAACCCGCATGTACATATTCTACATGTATCTTTATGTCTAAGGCTGCTCTGGACCATCTTCTTAACCCTGTCAAACATCCACACTGTGGATTTTAAAGGCATGGTGGCTGATAGGCTACCTGTTATACTGAAAAATAAATTCCTTACAGCTCATGCCAAACATTTGCTATAGTCATGTTAGACAACTTTTTAAAATAATTTGGCTTCCCACAAATTTCAGGAAGGCAGGAAGAAATCATTTTAACGGGCTTCATAATTTCTAAGCTTTTGAGATGGGGAAAAAATCAGATATAGGTTGCCTGAACTGAAGGTAAATAATCCTATTATGACTGAATGATGCACCAGTCCTGTGATACTAGCAATACTGTAGGGCAGTGTCTACAATTCCCACAGAAGCAACATATAAAGTTACCCTACAAGAAAAACCCTCTACCCTCAGTTTTGTTTAATTGCAATTTCTGAATCCTACATCCTGTTTGAGATTTTTCTGCCTTTATAAATACAAATGCCACCATTACACTAGAGGTCTGAAAATCCTAAAGGCCAGTCAGCTAAAATTTGACAAACACAAAAGTATTGTAGGCTTCTCAACAGATGATTCTTTTTATTCATCTCATCTTGTACCCTAATGTTAAGAAGACCATAATAATGGCCAGCTATCCAAATGAAGAAGATGAAGGGCTATAGGATGTTGTATTCTTTGGATTTAAACGACAATGTATATAGTGCAATGACAATGAAATATTGACAGAGCAAAACTTTACTTCTTTACCTGGCAACCTCTTTTTTCAATCTCCGTAATGCACTTTTTCATCAAGAGAGGAACCATCAAACCTTCATTTTCCTTCTCAACAACTTTCCGAGCATCAATTCCAAAGAGTATCGGTTCTCGTTCTCCATTTGTTCCACCAAAAGAATTCTCCCACTGTTCCAGAAGAGTTAGCTTGACATAGATAAGACCTCTGGGCTCCAGTTTTACTGCCAACTGATGAGTCTTCGTCACACGAAAAAGAGCAGGAAGAACTACCGTACCATGGCAGCAAACCCGGTTTTTCCTTGGCATGGGCTCCCAGCTAAAAACCACTAATTTTAAATGCTGAGCATTTTCTATCTCTATGTTGAAAGTGTGATCCATGTCCAAAAATGTTGTTCTGCAAGTCAGCAAAGCGGTCCTTGCTTTATTTACTGAATCTACCTGAATTGCACAGAAGACATCTTTTGAGTCCATCCTTGGTGGTTTCAGATCCTCTGCACCATAGAAATGAATGCTCATGAGTCCAGATATGTACTGGGAACATTTGGGTTGGTCAGCAAAAGTGTAGTGTCGAAAAGCATCAATGTCTATTTCTGATTTATTACCCATGTTACCTGCAAATACTTCCTTTCCTTTCCTTTCAGCTGCATATTTCCCTGATTTTGCTATAAGCTCAGGAGAGTCTCCATCACTGAGGTAGCCCCCTTTGCTGGAGGATTTGGAAGTCCCCCTGTTTTTCTTTTTATAGCTGTGTTGAGAGGATACACTGCTATCAAGATGATACCGGCTTATGACATTCCTGCTAGCAGCTGCTGTTACATTTCCAGAAGAAGCTAACGGTGCATGGCTTACTTCCTGGCAATTATTTTTAAGCAACAAAGAATTGTCCGAGCTATTATGGCTTGAATTTACTTTGACACTGAGCTTCCTGCTGAGTTCAGGCAATTTTTTCATCTTCATGGAAAGTTTCCTGACGGTTCTTGGGGATTTTATTTTATCAGGGAAAGGCCAGTTTATTGAGCCACCTTTTTTCAATGGGCTTGGGCTTGGAGGAGAATATTCTGCAGTTCCTGTCTCCGCCTTGTTTGCAGACGTGATTCCAGGACCTTCGAAAAAAGAAAAGAAAGAAAAGATAAAAAAAGAATACTTGTAAATAAAAAACTACTTCTTTGTTGTGATCTGAAAAAGTCTATTTAGAAAGATGCTGAGCATCACCTACATCAGAGTTCCCCAACCTTCCTGGATTTGCGGACTGGGGGGGGGAGGAAGAGAGGGGATGGTTCCGCGCAGTGGTGGCGAACCTATGGCACGGGTGCCAGAGGCGGCACTCAGAGCCCTCTCTGTGGGCACGCGCGCCATCGCCCCAGTCCTAGGCCTTCAGCTGGGTTTTATAAAACCTTTTCGCTTTAGGCCTCCGCTGCCTTGTGCAAAAAAAAAAAAAAAAGTTCAATCAATTAGTCAATTTCAACTTCTCGCGGGGGGAAAAAAAACTTGTAAAAAAACTTGGAATTGATTGATTGAACTTTTTAGTCCCACCCAGTCTGCTGTTACCACCGCAGCCACGCCCAGCCAATGGGCCACACCCAGCCAATGGGCCACGCCCACCCGGCACCCGATGATGCATAAGTGGGTTTTGGGTTGCAGTTTGGGCACTCGGTCTCTAAAAGGTTCGCCATCACTGGTTCCGCGCGAGAAGCAGCAGGCATGCATGAACAGCTCCATTTGCACTTGCCCATTATCTCTGTGGCCTGCAATCCAGTTCCGAAGGGCTCAAGGCCCTGTAATGGGCTGTAGTCCAGGGGTTGGGGACCACTGGTCTACATTATTCCCATAAATACCCCTTCCTGTGTGCCAGAACAACCAAGAACATGTGTCCCCCTTTCCTTAAAAGACACAAAGGAGACAGATGCTACCAAGGAATCACTGACCCATCCCTCTGCTAATGGACCATTCTGCTTGTTTTGTTGTCTTGCATATTTTAAAATCGATGTCTTTCAAAGGAGAAGCTGAATGCAGCTGTTTTGTTTCAGCAACTCTTCTGAAAATAAAATTCTATGTTTTGTCTACGGTCTCAAGTTCTGAAAAAGTTTTTTTGGGGGGGGAGAAATGGAACTACTTTGCTTTAGGGCTCCTATGGATTTCAAAGATGGTTCAAAGGTACTGCTATTTCACAGTAATTTGCTTTTTTTATGGTTTTTTTCTTTGCAAACAAACAGGTATGCCTCTTCTCATTATGGCAGAGTGAACGTATGATATATTAGGAACCAATTCTCCACAAAGTTCCAACATGACGTATCTCTTTGAATCCACTAATAAATCCTTTCTTAAACAATGTTTATTACATTTGTCAAAGAAATCTGACTATCATAAACAACCAATGTAATAAGTTAATCAACATTAGATTCATAATTAGTTATTTGCTTATTCAAAGTATTTTGTAAAAAACAGTTTAATAGGAGGAAATAAATAAAAATATAAAACTGGAATACAGCATCCAATAGTAGCAATTTATACACCACATAGTTTTTCATAGTGAAAGATGAGCCTCCATAAACTTTTGTTCATGGCTTTTACCTCATGGGAGTGGAAGGCTTTCCTAAACATCTTCACACCATAACTATGTTTACTGACCAATAAGTCTACGTCTAATTCAGTGGTTCCCAACCTTTTCTATACCCCGCACCCCTAGAATGCTTCTGATATATTCTCGCACCCTCTTACAAAAGTTCGAAATAACGGCAACAAATTATGCATATACACTATAATTTTGAAAACCCAAGTTTTCGCACCCCCTGGAATATCGTCTCGCACCCCCAGGGGGTGTGAGCACCCCTGCTTGGGAACCCCTGGTCTAATTCTATTATAGACGTAATAGAAATATTCTATTTCTAGAATATTTAAATATTCAATAACTCTACTGTGTTCTAAATTCAGCAATTTCATATACCTAAGGATTAAAAGCAGATGTTCAGTACAGACTGTCAACTGTAATTCAATATAATTGGGTGTAGGGGCCTACCCTCTAGTATCCCTTGTGAGACAACAGGACATCACTAGATCAAACTGCCAGAATATGAAGGTGGAAAAAATGCTGACTTTCAGCCATGCGGTTTGTCAAGTTGGTATTTTTCTGTATGTATTTCAAAAATAAAGGGATTTTGGAAAGCTTTATGGACACATTTTACCTTACGCCACAAAATACAATGCCATTTTTCTTATAGGACTGGGAGACAATAAAAATAATTTATTCTTTATTTTTTTCCTCTAGCATTCTAAAATATACTCAAAGGGACAAGAAATAACATCTGGAAAGCACAGAACTTAGCCTAATCAAAATCATCAAAGGGACCAGAATGGGCCTCCAGACCATCATTTGCTCATTTGTACCATAAATACTACAGAGAGCACATTTACTCACTAAAAAGTAAAGCAAATGTGCATCTGACCCTTAATTTAATTTTGTTTTCCCATCCAAACAAGCAACCAGGTTTGACTGCCTAGCTCAGACATTCAAAGGAAAAATAACCAAGCAAAAACTAAGCAAGTGCTTATAAAAACATCATCAAATCCCCCTATCACTACTCAGATACCTACAGTATATTATGGTCTGGGGTCACCTTATAAGAGAGCTGGGCAACATAAGTATTAAATAAACAAATAAACAATTTTAGGATGCTGCTGATTGAAGCCCTGTTGCTTAGTGACCAAGTAGGCACTGTGTTTCTACATCATCACACAAATCATTCCATTTTTTTCTGCAGCCCACCCAATTAGAAACTGAGGCTCAAATAAATAACACCAATCCACGTTCTACAAAGCCCCTGTTATTTTCTTTAAACAGGAACTAAATAACTCTCTTTCTTGCTGGAAATTGACAATTAGGCCTTGTTTTTTAAAAAATGATGAAGTTTATACTGCACAAAGTATGTTTCCAGAGCCTCAGTGAAAGTTCTTGTTTCGCTCAGTTGCTTTACTTGTATTGAGGCTATTTCCTTACATGGAATAGACTATTTCTAGCACACCCGCTGTGCTTTTTTGGCAACAGCTCATAAAAATGTGGTATTTGATAAAACTGGACAAAGGCCTCTCTTGTACTGCAAATCACCACACAGTCTCACTAGTGGGTTGCACTGAGGCATTCCATAGTAATCAGGGCAAAGTTTTAATTAATTCACATTAATCTTTCTCTGTCAGAAGCCTCTGGCAAAGGCTTAGAAAAACAAGCCAAAATATAAAAAACTGAGAAGTCAATCTAACATTCCTGACATTTTATCTCAAACTTCCGGTGGCTTCATGAAGAATTATAAAGAATTCCTATTCCTTAATTGTTGGAATGGTAAATAATGTCAAAAGGACACTGGAACCTTTCTTGCCATTATAGCAACCACATATTACATACACAGAGAGGGCACAGACAACTTTTTGAAATCCACTAGAACAGGGGTAGGCAACCTTGGCTCTTTTATGACTCGTGGACTTCAACTCCCAGAATTCCTGAGCCAGCATTCTGGGAGTTGAAGTCCACGAGTCATAAAAGAGCCAAGGTTGCCTACCCCTGCACTAGAACTATTTTACCAACCGATAATTGTAAGTGATATTGTCACTATAGGCTGTCAGCAGTTGGTATTTCTAACTCTGTGTTCCATTTTTACAAATTATTTTTAAATCCTACTAAAAGGAAAATGGGTGTTTTCTCCATTAGGTCATATGGTTGATCAAATCAGAAAATCTCCTTTCAGCATAAACAGTTTTGAACACAGTATATTAAAAATTATGCAATGGGTATAAACTTCTGTACAAACTTATGATTTCACTTATTCAATAAAAGCCCTATTTTTTTTTGAAGGATTTAAATCCACCAGAGTTTCTGAAAGCCAAAAGTGTTTATGATTAACACTGATAATTCTGTTTACATTAATTATGCAATGTAGACTTATGAAATGGTTCAATATTCATAGTACTCCTTTTTGTAATATTTTGTAATATAAGGTTTGTATTAGCAGATATTTATTTATTAAATTTATACTCCACCATCTCACTGTTGAAATTTCTCTGGAAAAAGAAAATTATGAAAAGTCATATAACTATAACTTTATTACCACGCAACTCCCAATTGTCCAATGTATTGATCCTAAATCAGAAATCTATATAAGTGATATCCATAATCTACCTGCCTGTCTGTCTAATTATCTGTCTATCTGCAATGCTTCAGAATCTGTTCCAAAAAGACAAATGTAACACTGGACTACAACTCTTTAAGCAGCCACATTTTTCCCTGAAATGTCTGGCAGCTGCACAAAGCAGTTGTGCAAGCACCTGAAGCACCTCTCCAAATTATTTCTAAAGCAGTACACAGCTCTTTTGCCTGTGTATGTGTGTATGCACATGTAAGAATTTTATAAAATCCTCATTATAGAATTGTGCTGTTGTTGCAGAGGACAGACATACAATTCCAGGCAAAGACACCTCTGCTAACAATTTCCAGACAGGTGTCATGCCTCCCACACAAAGTACTATACAACCTTTTACCATGATCCAAAATACTGCACAGTCCTAATTTCAAGAGGTAACTGGAAAGATGCTTCGAGAAAGGGCTTTTTTGCTTTTCCTATAAGCAGTTCCATCAGAAGCCTTTACCTCCAATCACCTGAATCATATGTGAACACTACCACTTTACCACTTTACAATGCCTTGGTAAGACCACACTTGGAATACTGCATCCAGTTTTGGTCACCACAATGTAAAAAAGATGTTGAGACTCTAGAAAGAGTACAGAGAAAAGCAACAAAGATGATTAGGGGACTGGAGGCTAAAACATATAAGGAACGGTTGATGGAATTGGGTATGTCTAGTTTAACGAAGAGAAGGACAAGGGGGGGGACATGATAGCAGTGTTCCAATATCTCAGGGGCTGCCACAAAGAAGAGGGAGTCAAGCTATTTTCCAAGGCGCCAGAAGACAGGACAAGAAGCAATGGATGGAAACTAATCAAGGAGAGAAGCAACCTAGAACTAAGGAGAAACTTCCTGACAGTTAGAACAATTAACCAGTGGAACAACCTGCCTCCAGAAGCGATGAATGTTCCAACACTGGAAGTTTTTAAGAA